CACACACACACACACACACACACACACACACACACACACTTACCCATGCAAGTCATATGAGTTGTACAGCTTAATCAGAGATAGTGAGAGTGAGTGAGAGAGGAGAAGATTTGGAGATGGAGGATTTCCTGTGGAGAATGCGGGTCTGGGCATCTGTGAGCTGGAGGAGATGTTGTTGGTGTTGTGGAGATAAAACAAATGAAGTCAGAAGGGAAGAAAAAGAGGAAATGTTTGAGTTGAGAGTGGAAGAGATAAAAGCAGCAATGAAAATGGAAGAAAAACCATCAAAAACTTGGAGTGTGTCTTCCCTCCCAGTTGCTGAGGTCAGATGGTGAGGTGTGTGTGTGTGTGTGTGTGTGTGTGTGTGTGTGTGTGAGAGAGAGAGAGAGAGAGAAAGTGTTTGACGTCAAACAGGGCTATATGATTATGTTTTTTTTAATTACAATAACATTGAAATTTGTAGCATTATAGAAGAATGTCTCATAAAAATGTCACTAACTTTGTAATGTCATTGAAAAATAGGTCTGGTTTTGAATGTTGTATCATAATGATCTCTGATTTACTGTAATGTTAAAGGGTTCAACTATTTTAGCGTTTCCAACTATTTTAGTGTTCTTGTGTCACTTCCAAGAAAATAGAAGAGTCAAAAGTAATGTATTTGATTGAAGGGAAGCCATTTTAGTTCCAGATGATCTGAAGATATAATTGGCTGGTTACAGTACATTCTGTACAGTGAACCCCGAAGTCCATTCTGAGAGTGTCAGCTGTCCCTGGGTGCGATCAAATCACTCAGATGAATAGAATATAGGCAAGGAGAGAGAAATAGGGAACATTAGAGCTAAAAGAGTTATGCAAAGAGAAAGTCCTGTGTCAGGACATTCTGGCATCACAACTTTATGTGCTGTTGTTATCCTTACAAAAATATAATATGGTAACTATAGTTCCTGCCAAAATGGCATTACAGTTAAACAAATTAAACTAAATGACATTGATTTTGAAAGGTTTTCACACAGTTTGAAGGCGCTCTTACATTAATTTATGGTTTGATAGTGGAATCAATAACTGTAGACCCTTTCTTTCTTTCTTTCTTGCTTCTTTCTTTTATAGAAAGTACAGCACCACACAAAAGAAATCATATTGTACTCTATATGAATGTGCATCTTCATCTGAATTGAATGTTATAAGACTTTTTTTTACTGTAAAAAAGATAGAAATGTAAGCAGTAAAAGCTGAATTTATTTGATCAAAGACATAGTAAAAACAGTAATATTGTGAAATATTATTACAAATTAAAATAACTGATTTCTATTTTAATATATTTTCATTTATTCCAATGATTGCCTAGGTGAGTTTACAGCAGCCATTACTCCAGTCTTCATTGTCACATGATCCTTAAGAAATTATTATAATATGCTGATTTGGTGATCAAGAAACATTTCTTATTATTATTCAATTTGAAAATCATTTCTGCTGCTTAATATTTTTGTGGAAACTGATACATTTTGTTTTAGGTTTCACTGATGAATAAAAAGCTCAAATAACAGCATTTATTTGAAAGAGAAATCTTCTGTAAAGCTATAAATGTTTTGCTTTTGATCAGTTTAATGCATCATACCAGTTGTATACCTACATTTAATCAGCATGTAAAGCACTTTAGGAGCTTCAGAGCTTCAGAGCTGGTATAAATAAAAACCCTGAAGCCACATACACTCTTAAAAATAAAGGTGCTTCACGATGCCATAGAAGAACCTTTTTGTCTAAATGGTTCCATAAAGAACCTTTAACATCTGAAGAACCTTTCTGTTTCACAAAAGGTTCTTTGGGGCGAAAGAAGGTTCTTCAGATTATAAAAAGGTAAGAAAGAGATGGTTCTTTAAAGAACCATCTCTTTCTTACCTTTTTATAATCTGAAGAACCTTCTTTCGCCCCAAAGAACCTTTTGTGAAACAGAAAGGTTCTTCAGATGTTAAAGGTTCTTTATGGAACCATTTAGACAAAAAGGTTCTTCTATGGCATCGTGAAGCACCTTTATTTTTAAGAGTGTAAGCATGAAAATTAGGACACGGTTCACACTTGTACGCACACAGACAGGTGCGATGGATACGGTAAGATGGCTGTATCAGCGAAACAAGGTGTAATAACATCTCATGCTGTATCTGATATAGATCAAACTATCCCCATGTGTTGCTCTCTCTTTGTCTCTGCGTTCAGCTGGGAGAGCTGGACGGGGTGGAGAAACCACAGCCGCACTGGTTTCACACGCTGCAGGTGCGACGGCTCAGAGTTCAGAGGGGCCGCAGTAACAGCGATCCTATGGGAGGAAAGAGCTTCCAGCAAGAGTTCCAGTGGGTGAGGGGCACACAAATACAACTCCGATATACAACAATACACAACAAGGGATTTAAAGGCACAATATGTAATTTTCGCCACTAGAGGGCGTGTATTCAAAATAAACAAATAGACAAAGGCGTAAAGCCGTTGAAGCGAAACGAGGCCGCTGAACGAGTGTGACACACGGTTAGAAAGCAGCGGTGCTTTTATTATGCCACAGTCGACCGCTTCCGCTTCTCCCGGTCGTGCGTATGTGGGGGAAAAAAGCAGCGCTGTTTTATCATACTAGATTTGAAAGTTCTGTTATAATGCTACTCTGTGCGGTAATCACCAGTCTATTAAAACGCACAACATATTAAAGCGTCTTTGGTGTTTCCATGTTTTCGGAAATCGAGGGGTTATGACGTCATTGGCAAGCGACACAATGACACTATGGACACGGTCCGTGTCACTAGTTAAAATTGCTTATTTCTCTGGATTTAAACATTCTTCGAAACATTTGGGATAATGTAAGTACACAAGTCAGCAAAATATATAACACTGTTCTAGTGGTTTTTGGATATTTTAATAAAAAAATCTTACACATTGTGCCTTTAAGCATGTTCACGGATTCACAGAAATAAACAAAGAGTGCACAATGTTGAGGAATACAGTAACACATTACAATTTTACATGACTTATTATAAACTGTAATTGTCACATTGTTGTTATGTTAAAAGTAATGTTAACGCTATAAGCCTTCTCTCATCCTATTGATAGTTTAGACTTTTTAGCAAATAAAAGGCCTTTTAGTATAATTATAATTATAATATAATTATAAAATTGTCCACCTTCATGATACACTTGTGTTTTTGCTGAGTTTTATAAAGTAAATATAAGAATACATGTTATACTGTTATTTATATTTCAAGATTGTTTACTTGAGAATCCATATCACTGTATAGCTTAGCATTATATGTTTTGCGCCCCACAATAAAAACTACAGAGCTTTGATCATAAAACTGAGCATTTAAATGTCATCTTACCCAGTATTATTGGGAGATGTAGACTGACAATTGATATTTAGATGTATTTCGTGTAAGTAGTCTGTTATACTATTATAAAGATCTTGTTGATTTACATTACAAGCTATCAGAATTTCATCTTTCTTTATGGCCATATAAATAACAGAATCTGCACTATATATGGCATATTTTTGCTCAGTTTGGGCCTCGGAATAAAACTCTTTTCTTCCTCAAGTATGAGCACCATATTCTAAAGATATCACACTATAATATGAGCCATAAAAACCTGATCTATCAAATATTGTATAAAACATAAAACACATACGCAAAAAAAAAATTCATTTTCTTTTATATTTTGTCTAAAGGTACAATAAACTGTTCCTTTAAAAAAAAAAAAAATAATAATAATAATAATATTTTTCTGACTTATTTTATATGTCAGACTTTTTTTTTTTTTTTTACTAATTTATTGGTTCAGTTGTTTTGGCTACACCAAGGAGGTCTATAAAAGCTTCCTGTCTTTTATTTAAATGGCAGTTGCTTGGCTGGCAAAATAACAGTGTGTGCATTTCATTCACAGAAAACTGGCCTGCAGTTTGGGAATGCGACATCTTATCTGAATCTTGAAAAACTTGGAGAGGGCACATATGCCACAGTGTACAAAGGAATTAGCAGGTTAGTAGACACTCATAGACACACATTCAAAACAGTGTAATACACAGAACTCAGATGTTGCCAATAGGGGGCAATTTATTCACTGAGGCAAGATGAATGTTTTATGGCAGTATTCAGTTAGCAAGCACATTATTCAGATACACCACCCTGTGGCTTTGCTCTTCTGTATAATAGACAGCAAATGATTCTTTTCATTGCCTCCTTGTAGGCATTGCTTGGGTTCTTCTATGGCATCTTGTTTTACATGGATTCATTTTTTAAGGTCATCCTGTAACATATGGATACCCACCCGAGGCTTACACTGAGAGGCAGTTTGATGTTGTTGTACAACAACCAATATTTTGTAATAAGAAACAGCTCCCATACATCTCTTTGCAGCTGTTTTAGGATAGAAAGCTTTACATTTAGTAACATTTTTGCTTATTAATGTGGTTAAAGGAACAATGTTACCTCACTTAAAGATGATTTTGGAATAGAGTTAAACGCCACAGTGGGTGGAATTTGTATCCTTAAATGGCATCATGAACTTATCCACTAAACAACAGCAGTAGATGATTTAAATGACAGACAAGATGATAGGCTTTTAAAGACCCCATAAAATTGCAGATTTCTTTTTTGTGTTACAGTATTTCCTACAGAAACGGGAAGTTGGGGTGGGACACATCCAAGGACTCGCCCCTTAGTTTTAAATAGCCAGTAGGCTTTAATTTACAGCCATGAACTATGATTTGCTAAATGCTATTGCTAGACATAGTATTATTCGATCTAGGGCACATTATCTTCGCATTTAATTAGACAAAAAGAAAAAAATAGAATAGAAACTTTCAATTTTAAGTTTGAATTTTCTTCAAATTAAAGGCATTTGTTTAATTTGTCAACTTTTAAGAATAATCTATAAAAAAAAACTTATAGCTAATAGAAAAAACTTCCATTTTGATTTCATAAGGTCTTTCAAAGGGAGAGCTTGTGATGGTGGTTATTCTCCAGAAGGTGGAGGTCAGGTAAACTGTTCGCAGATGCATGTTTGTGGATTATGCTGAGGTTCTTCTGTGTTTCTGACAGGATAAATGGTCATCTTGTGGCTTTAAAGGTGATTCACATGAAAACTGAGGAAGGAATTCCATTCACAGCTATTAGAGAAGGTACTGCAACAGCGCAACACACACAGCCAAGAAACAAAAGTGCTTATACACACGCAAAGGGAAGTGGGTTACGACATGCTAGTGTGTGTGTGTGTGTGTGTGTAAGTTGTACACAATCTAGAATAACAATAAAGAATATATTCAGGAAGTGTCCATTATAGATGTCTGTGATTGAAATATGAATAGTGGAGTTGTGCATTAATAAATTGTTTTTACTTATTTATGTTCATATTTTTATTTTTTATATGTTCTGACATACTACCATTCAGAAGTTTGGGGGTTAGAATTTTTATTTTATTTTAAAGAAATTAATACTTTCTTACTTTAATACTCAGCAAGGACACATTAAATTGACCAAAAATGACAGTAAAGACATTTATAAGTTTACTAAAGATTTCTATTTCAAATAAATGTTGCTATTTTGAACCTTGAAAACCATGTATCACTGTTTTCAGTATTCATAATAATAAGAAATTATTCTTGAGCACAAAATCAACATTCTGAAGGATCATGTGACACTGACAACAGAAGTAATGGCCGCTGAAAAATAAATTACATTTTAAACTGTATTAAAATAGAAAACAGTTCGGTGAAATTGTAATAGTAATTCACAATATTACAGTTTTTAATGTATGCAAAGGCTAGATATGTGACTGTACTGCACTTGTTGATGCTGTATGTACATTTTATTTGTGATTATTCCCAGCCTCCTTGTTAAAGGGCCTTAAACATGCCAACATAGTCTTGCTTCACGATATCATCCACACACGAGAGTCTCTCACCTTTGTCTTTGAGTATGTGGTGAGTCTTAAGACGCTGGCAGTCGCCTTCCAAGATTATTTTGTTAATTTTGTCTACCCGTCAGTCATATTTTACATCTTTTTCCCTCTCAGCAAACAGATTTGGCTCAATACATGATTCAGCATCCTGGCGGACTTCACTCGTACAACATCAGGGTACATAAACACATGAATGTGTAAAAAATACACAAGGTCAGAAAGAATGAGCCGGCTTTCTCACGCTCAGTATGTTTCTTCAGCTCTTCATGTTTCAGTTGCTGCGAGGATTGTCTTACATTCACAGCAGAAGAATTCTGCATCGAGACCTCAAACCTCAAAATTTGCTCATCAGTTATTTGGGGGAACTCAAATTAGCCGATTTTGGTAGGTTTCACTTATGCAAACACTAACATGCTTATAATATGCTCTGTCATACATTCTTACCCAGGTCTTATTCCTTCAGGTCTGGCCCGATCTAAGTCCATACCGTGCCAAACATACTCTGCAGAGGTCGTGACTTTATGGTACCGGCCGCCAGATGTTCTCATGGGCTCCACTGATTACTCCACAGCCCTGGACATCTGGTGAGTCCCTGTACACACACACACACACACACTCATTCTCCTAGAAAAGTTCATAATAGTAAAAGAGCAACTGGCGCAATTCCCCCCAGTGTCCCCCCACTCTTTGAAAATGCCCCCCTTCAGCTTCATGCTTTATTTTTGACTCGTCACGAAAGTGTATCATATGCATGTGTTTTTAAGTCTTGCCAGTCCTCTGCACAATGTGACATTGCTGCAGCCTGGAATTGAACTGCTGGTTTCGTCTGGTCAGAGGAGAACTGGCCCCCCGACTGAGCCTGGTTTCTCCCAAGGTTTTTTCTCCATTCTGTCACCGATGAAGTTTTGGTTCCTTGCCGCTGTCGCCTCTGGCTTGCTTAGTTGGGGACACTTCATTTCCAGCGATATCGTTGACTTGATTGCAAATGATTGCAAAGATACTATTTAAACTGAACTGAGCTGGATGATGACATCACTGAATTGAATGATGAACTGTCTTTAACTGAAAAATGAGTGTTTACTATTGTCATTTTGCATTATTGACACACCATTTTTCTAATTAATGCTGTTCAGTTGCTTTGACACAATCTGTATTGTTAAAAGCGCTATATAAATAAAGGTGACTTGACTTGACTGGACTTAAGCATTCGAACAATTTTAAACCGTTCATGTACAAGAAGATGTGAAAGAGAACTCAATTCGGTGCTCAATTCAGCACTGTTTTCTGTGCGTGCACACGCAGAGAGCCACGTCTCAGACAGCACGCCATTACCGAAGTTCTTGAATGGACAAATACACACAAAATTATGTGAAAATGCCCATTTTGGCGAGTATCTTAACTGAGTTAGAATGAAAAGTATTAAATGAACGTAAACAGTTGGGAGAAAATCTGATGTGTGTCTGATGCATGCATTTGTTCTTAAAGTGACAGCAGCTTAATATACCTGCTCCTGTCTGTGGCATTAATGTTAATTAAAAAACAAAAGAAAAAATTAAAATCACTCTGCTCACATCTGCTGTTGACTGAATAACTGCTTTAGCTTTAATAAGGATTCTGTATTCAATTTATATAATGTTTTATTTCGTACTTGAATACTGTTAGACTTACCTGAAAAACTTAAAGCACTGTTTATTTAATTGAAATCTGTTTTATTGTATTTTTTTGTGCTATTGCTAGTAATTTGTTCTTAGTTTATTACTGACTGTTTGCTTGTCTTTATCCAACATTATTTATTAAGAAACAAGGTTACATAGGTCAAACACAATGAAACCAATAATAAACAATAAAATTTTTTTGTGTGGCAAAGCCAAAGCCATTTTGAACCAAATTTAGAAAATCTGAACCAGTTGAAAAACATCCTTAGCGTTCAGCCCTGTATTTGTACATAAAGTTTGTGTATTGTAATGAATTGACACATGATAAACATTTACATATTTGTCTACAGAACTTTTGGATTGATGTTTTTCCCACTTAAGATATGCAAATGAAATTCTTTACATAATTTCCTGAAAAAATTATGTTCTTTGCGTTGTTCAATTTTGATAATCTGTTGCATATTAAAATGGTATGTTGTAACTGAAATGAAAATCAACTATTACCCAACACTCAGTTTTGGTCCCCCCACCGGTAAGAGCAGAACTGCAACCCTGGTCTGACATACAGTATATGTGTATATGTTGATGTTTAGGGGAGCCGGCTGCATTTTTATTGAGATGCTACAGGGGTCACCAGCGTTTCCTGGAGTAGCTGATGTTTTTGAGCAGCTGCTGAAGATTTGGGCAGTGAGTGTGTTTGTGAGAATGTACTAGAATTGTGTGAAATTTCTCTTCTATCCATTTATTTATCCTCCTCTCCTCCCGTTATTCATCTCTCCTCTTCTTTCCGAGGTCCTCGGGGTCCCGACCGAGAAGAGCTGGCCAGGTGTCAGTGATCTGCCAAACTATAAACCAGGTGTGTGCAAAATCCTTCTTTCATCTGTCTCTGTACTGTGTCCACAATGAGAGTTGATTTCCTGCCTCAACACAGATTTGTCTCATACATTAAATGCAAGTGTCTGTGTTAGTTACATAAAAATGTATTTAATGTGTTAGCATCTAAATTAACTGGTTTTATTTAAAGTCAAAGTAATGTTTTAATATAAACTTGACTAAATTATGTTACAGCAATGAAAGTAATTTTAGCGCTTAGATCAAGAAGAAATATGTTCTTAAAGGGTTAGTACACCCAAAAATGAAATTCTGTCATCATTTACTCACTCTCATGTGGTTCCAAACCTGTACGACTTCCTTCCTTCTGTGGAACACAAAATATGTTTTGAGTTATGTTGTTATTCATTGATAATCTTCCCCTAAATCATAGCTCTCAAATCTCATTCACACATGCACATATTTAGACTTGCCAAATTCAGATGCGTCATGCAATTCATCAAAGCAATTCATTCTAGCATGCCTCATCTTATATGGTCTCTAAAGATTTTAAATATAGCCCCAAATCATACGGGCAGTTTTAATGGTTCCTTTTAGGGCAGTGGTTCTCAAACATTTGGACTCCAAGACATCTCATTGTCAACAACAACATTCAAAGGCTGCATGACTTTTCCAGTTGTTCATGATTTACTCGAGAAGTATAAGGATTTTTAAAAATGTTTTTTACTCACAATTTCTATCTGAAAAAAAAAACAAAAAATAGGTTAGAGCTTGAAACTATAAAAAAATTAAATTAATTATTAAAATGCTAATGGAGTTAATGGATATATTATTCAATTTCTAATTTAAAGGTCTAGAAATCACACTTTTAAAATAAGGCCTCATGAAATCAGGTTTCCCAAGACTGTGGTTCTTCAAAGAGGGAAAAAAAAGAAATTTGGAGGGTAATTTAAAGTAAAGAATATCTTGATTTTTTTTCTTGTTTAGCATATTTTAATGATTGTTTTATCTTATTTTAAATCATTTTAAAGTCATCCTGAGGCCCCTTTGAAGTTTGCTAAGACCCCATTTGAGAACCACAGTTTTGGGAATAAAAACAATATCTTGGTACCATATTGATAGATATATTTTATTTATCGATATTGGACACTGGACATTGGACATTTTTTAATTTAGATTACATTTGCCACTAATGCTCACATAAAGTTCATCTTTAATTTAATAACACTGTTAAATGTAATCAAATCACAAAATGAATAGTAATGACACCTAAATTCACTTGTAGCATTTAAACAATTTGTTTTAGTTTTTTTTTGTGTGTGTTTTTTATTATAATATATTTGGACAGAATGTATAGAATTTTAATATCAGCCATTTATATATTATAATCTGTAACATATTGTACAGTACAATACAATAATATGCTATCCACCTATGCTATTCTTTTTTTGTTTGTTTTTAAAGTTAAAAAGAATTAACCATTAGTAACTTGAATGTGCAAGACTTCCAGTGTCAGGTGAATCCAGTTATATTAGCTGTACAAAAACAGTTTCCTATGCTGCTTGATGTTGCAAACTGGTAATTGTTATCATATTATATTAATTTATTATTGTATAAACAATATAAAGTGTACTGCACTTTGTTATTTGTTGTTTATTTACCTATAGCAGCTAATAAATCGGAAGTCTTGCACATCCACATGAAAATTGCTTGCTTTTGTATTGTAAAAACTAAGGTGTATATGCTCCAAAATATCAAGTTTCTTCCATTTAAATTTCCAATTTTGTTCTCCATGGAAGAAAGTCATATGTAAATGATGACAGAATTGTCGTTTTTAGTTAACTTTTCCTCCACACGCTCAATTCTTACTGTTTATTAGATGTATCTGTTATTTTTAAACATTCAGTAAATACACATGGACCCATAAATTTAGAACTAGAACTACACATAGACACCGTCATCTGTATGCACTGCGTGTGTGCTTGGCGATGTGTAGGTGTAAACTTGTTGCCAAGAGCCTGTCGTTTTAATAACATGCAGTCATACAAACAGAAAATCGCTAGAGCAAATTCACAGAGTTGTGCTGAAGCTGTGTTTCCAGTATAAATCATTTTGTGTGTATAGGTGTTCTGTTAGCGGTTGTGTTGGCCGTGAGTCGACTTGACACCTTTGAGTCAGACATGCAGGAAAGGGGGTTGATGTCTTTCCATTGCAGTCCTGGAAATAAACTCATTACACAGGTGCACAAATGAGAAATGTGAGGTGGCTTTGGGAAATATGCCTCATTTAGAGTGTGAGGGTACTGATGGAGATGGTGTGTGTGGTAGGTAAACTGCTGGCAGGCCTTGAATCTGGGTTTACCCAAGCCCCAGGCTGCTCTGTATGTGTGTGTACTGTGTGTTGGAGAGAAGCTACCTGAACCCGCTGTGGTCTCTCAGGTATATCCAGGTGTGCTGAAGCGTAAGTGTGGCCTCAGGTTTCAGCCAAGAATGACTGAGTGGCCTGTGACCACAGACACTGACAGAAGGACACTCATAATAAAGCTTCTTCAAACGATCTTTATAGCAAGAAACATTTTTACATTTATAGGCAGGGGTGCACATAAGTGGTACGCAGGTCCGCATGCGCGACCAAAATAAAAAATGCGCTGTGTAAATAAGTTCTGACAGCGCATCTGCTACCAACATGGTTGACAGCTGTTAATGCACAATTAGATCGACAAACTGTAATACTGTATACGATTTCTATTAAAACTGAAAGCATAAATCTAGGCTACCTTCTGCCGTTTTCAAAGCACAATGCAAAACCGTGACATTTCATTCACTGATGCGCTTCAGTCGGCAGTAGGGATGGGCGTATCGATCCTGAAGTATCGCTATATCGATACTGATGCAAGTATCGAAAGTATCGATACTCAAATAAAAAATATCGATACTAAGGTGTTTTATTTACCAGTGACTGTTTATTTAACAAAAAAATAATGCGTACATTATGCATTGAATTGGACGAATAACCTAATTTAGCGATTAACTGTGTAGGATAGAACTATTTTCCTGCTCATCTTAACCAATCAATCACAGAGAGCGTTCACTCACTTTTGACCTTCTGACGGTGCATTCAAACGGGGCTGCGTTTCCCAAAAGTGTCATAAGAAACCATTGATGCTTTTGGGAACTGCAGCCCAGAACAATGCTTATCAGAGGACAGAAAAAAAACATATATTGAGTTATTTCACAATAAATAAACTGAAATTGTAGCCTACATAGTTTGTGCAATTACATTTATTTAAACTGAACGTTAAAAGTTCATATTGATCATGTTATATTCTGTAATTTTAGTATAAATCATACACTGTCAGAATAAAAACGTTGCATTTTATGCACGCAATAGCCCGTCACTGGCAGTCCCTTATGAAAACGAACCATGGTTTTACTAAAGTTCAACTATAGTATTTGTTGATTTCCATGGTTACCACTACAGTAAACATATTTTAACAAAAATATAACTTAATATGTTGCAATTAAGGCGTATTGAATGTTAAAATGTGTTTCAAATATAAAGTTAGTGGGTATCATTACCCATTTTACTCTTAGTAATTTAATAATTTCATGAATTTCATAATTTAAAAGTTCAGTTTAGAAGTATCGTATCGGTATCGATATCGACGACACTGGCCTTTAAAAGTATCGTTATCATATCGAAAACAAAATAAGCGGTATCGCCCATCCCTAGTCGGCAGCGCCAAACCCGGAAGCACATATACTTACTTGCCGGCAACCCGCCAAAATAAAAGCCTGCTGATTTTAAGTTTGAAAATGATGAAAATTCATCATTCAAAATTCAAGTACATATTAGCATTTTATTTTTAAGTTTACTATAAAATAGTTGTATTTGCATTTAATACTCCCTTTTTATTCTAAAATATAACAGTATTATCACAATTTATTATTTCGTTTATTATTTTATTTAAAAAAAATAAACTAAATAAATAAAGTGCAACAAAATTATCAATATGATTCATTTATTTTTTTTTATAGTTGTATTTAATGGGTTACACTATGTGCAGTGTGAGGACCAAACCAAATATCCAGGTTCTCTTATGAGAACCAGGCTGAAAAACTTATGTGCACCCCTGTTTATAGGGTTCTTAAAAGTGGTTAGAATTTTTCTGTGGATGTTGAAAAAGTTCTTAAATTAGTACTTTACTCAAAAATGGAAATTCTATCTCACTGTCTCAAACAAAAAGCAGTTATTTTAGTATTATGTATATACAGTTATATAGGGGTGGGTAATATGACATTTCACAATATGAGTAGGCCTAATTTTATTTCATGATAACAATATATATCACAATATTGTTGTTTTTATTTTTTTTAATCAAGTTAGGACAAATACAATATAAGACACACTTTATATCATGGCCACAATATATATCGTGATACTGCCCAGCCCTGCTATTATTACTATACTAGAATTTATTCATATTATTAGCTTTTATTTGTTCTATTTTCATTTTAATGTTGTCATTGTATTAGTCAGGGGTTTAAACAGACTAAATTATTAGTTTTCACTGAAAGATCAATTTATGAGTTCAAAAAATAAAAAAATGAAGCAGGTACGTGAATGTATAGTTCACAATAACATCTATAACATGTATTCACAAAATAGATATCAAATTTTCATCTCATGCCAACTTTAATAATGCTCCTTTTTGAAGCTTGGCAGCCCCAGTCATCACTCACTGTCTTTGTATGCAAAAGAGCAGCGTGAACATTCTGCTAAACATCTATTTTCATGCTCCACAGAAGATATTTGGAACAACACAAGGAATAGTAAATAATGAAGGCTTTCATAGATTGTCTCGTGGCTCATTGTCTTAACGTGCTCTGAGTGAAGATACCTGATCAGAGCTGGATGTTCTGGTGGTCTGTTAACTAAAAGAGCTCTCTTTGTGTTCCTGTAGAGTGGTTCCTGCCCTGCAAGCCCCAGCAATTTCGAGATGTCTGGAAAAGGTAAGACCAGTTCATGTGTGCATGCTCGTGCGCGTATGTGTGTGCGTTTTGGCTCCGAGTGGGAACAGAAGGGCTTTTGTATAGCGGTCCTCATATCCCTTCCACCACCCCCACCTCTAATGGATGTCAATCCAAAGGACAGGATTTCAGCCCAGGATGCATTGCTACACCCATATTTCAACACACTTCCACCTCCGTTAATGCATCTAAGGGACAGTAAGTGCTGAAGAATTTCACTATACGAACGGAATGCACGCAATTCCAGCTTCAAAGGTTAATCCGGTCCCGTTACGCACAAGATCAAAGTTAAATCCCTCTTAGTTACTGTCAAAACTGGCAACCTTTTCAACGCCGACTCAAGATGAAAAGAGATTATGTAATCATGTCTTTTTCCTCCTGTCTCATTTCTCATTCTCTAACCTTCTCTCTTTTTCCGTCAGCTGTGTCCATCTTTAAGGTGCCGGGCGTGAGGTTAGAGACGGAAGCGAGGGATATCTTCAGCCCCAGCAGACGAATGAAATCGCCTCTCGCTCCGCTGGCCAAGTGCTGGTGAAAATCTCACCTTTGTAAATAGTTGGTGTGCTTGTAAAACCAAAATCACACCAGTAAACGTGACACTGTTGCAGCATGACGGTCAGTTTGTATGTTGTTTATTCAGAACTTAATCACCTTCATCAAATATATTTCTGAAAGAATATCTGATTCTCTTTCATAAGATTCATGTTTTTACATTTTGGACCAGTATTACCTAAAAATGTTTTACAGTCGATCATGATGATCCAAGTCATCAGGATCCACTGTATTTCAAATGCATTCTATATTTTGAGATCCATATCCACCTTATTTTTTTACGTAAGAAAGGGAGCGGCAATTTGTAACTTGAATGTGCGAGGCTTCCAGTTCCAATTTAGCTGTACAAAAATAATACTTTAGTTTATGCTGCTTGATATTGCAAACTGGTATTTGTTATCATATTATTTGAATTCATTATCATAAACGCACTAGTTTGTTGCACAAATAGTTTTACTATTTACAGCTTTTTCTTATTCTTCCAGTTATTTACCTGGAGCAGTTAATGATAGCTTACTTTTACGTTTTCCTGCCTCTCTGCAAACTGATGTCCAGAGACTGTTTACAGCACACTTTCATTGTGAATAAGTTTCAATTAAATGCACTTAATTTTATATGTAATTTAGTTTTTGTATATATTGCACAGAAAAGAGAATGAGTGTGCGAGAGATGATTTTGAAATATGATATGAAAATATGTGGAAGAATATACCTATAAATATTTCAAAGCTCTATTGTGTAGTGTGCAGGTGAAAAAAAAAGACTTGTGTGCATTTATAAAACACACCTGGAGAGAGTCTCACCCCGAAATTACGTTTTTGTACAGCACATACTCATATTTCTCCTGTACGCTGATGGCCACTGTCGGAACATGTTCAGAACTGTTTTTAGCTGTGTTTGTATCAAGTTCATAATAAATAGTCTCAGTATCTTTACATTTTTTTTTACATATTAGCAATGTCTGTATATGATGCTGAGATTCAAACATTTGCTGCTTCTCAGTCAACGTTTTAAAGGAGCGATGTACATCAATATTGGTCACCAACAACAGTTTCAAATAATAGGAACAATCACATTGCACAGTCACTCAATACTGATGTCATAAATGGATGTGCCGGAGAACATACACACACTTCAACATCATGCAATACTGTGAAAGCTGTGTATGTGTTCATACAATTGTATACAATTCCACTGTCTTGACTTCTGAATATTTTTTTTTTAATGACAAAAGTAAATGCTTGTCTGTTCTTTAGTTTCAGTGGAGTGGATATTATTATTGGTTTATTCTGCTTAATACAGCTTGGTTGGAATTAATGAGAATTCATATTTTTTATTTTGTTAGTAGCAGTATGTTTCTCTTCAGGTTTATACATGGATCATTCAATAATGGGCCAAAAAGATACACAATCTTTAAAAAATAATTTGAAAATATTTTACTCATTTATTTTTTTACAGTATATTTTATATTTTACAGTGTAAATGGGTCTCATAAATCTACACTTATTACATGGACATTTCCGTCCCAATCAACCCAGAGTCTCAGCCAAACATTTGACTATGGTCTACTTATTCTGGCCAATTACCAATTACCGGCCATTAGACAACAAGATACCTCCTACCAACCGCTGTTTGCTTTGTTTTTGTTTTTTTTGACTGAATCTGAAATCAATGATGCAACAAATAATTAAAGGGGTCATATGATGTTGCTAAAAAGAACATTATTTTGTGTATTTGGTGTAATGAAATGTGTTTATGCGGTTTAAGGTTCAAAAAACACATTATTTTCCACATACTGTACATTATTGTTTCTCCTCTATGC